TATATATATATATATATATATATATATATATATATATATATATATAAGGAAAAATTTTAATATTAGTCAAACTCTTAACCTATATATGGATATAGATAGATATGAGAGAGTAAAGATTTTAATATTAGTCAAACTCCTAAGATTTATGAGTTTTTAATTTTTAGTTTTATTTCATTTCTAAAGAAAATGGATATTATGGTAAAATTGACAAAAAACGGATTTCATAATATATAAGTTTTCTTGACGGACTTAAGTCCAAACAAGTCCATATATGGGGACCGACTTCCAAATTTTCCTTAAATAAATTAGATTCTTAATTTATCGAAGACGTGTATTGTGAATTTGGTCGAGAGAGAAAGAAGTAGTAGTCTTACGATTTTTCGTTCATGCTCTACAAAAATAAAAACGAATTGAAAGTGATACAGTTCGACCTAATCATGATATTGCAAGGCTCGATTAATGCCCGAAATAAGTAGGAGCCCATTGGCATTACCCACAAGTTATGTTGGATTCCGTTTAATCACTTGGGTGTCCAGTGGCCTTCATCTTATGGGCTATGGCCTTGTTGGTTGTCTCGGATTTTTGACCCACAAATTCCAACTTCAAACTGAGCCCTTTGATTGTCGGATGTACACAACAATTGCGGGCTTTTTAAAAAGAGATTATTGACTTGCCATTAAAATTTGGACTCTCCACTAAAAGAGAAAGATTTTTACCTAAAAACATTTAAGTTTGTAGGTAAAGAAGTTGGTTCTACCAACGAAAACTCGAAGAGTTATTTGGACTCAATTAGTACATGGTGTGTGTAGTTACCGAAAACTCAAAGAGTTATTTGAATGATGTGTTGTGTCCGATCGAAAGGGCTTAGGATACAAACTAGATGTGTGATTGGTGACAAGCAGCCATAATGAAATGATATTAGAATTGTTACGGCCATATCGTTCATCTTAGTATTACCCTAGAGGTTCTGTAGTCCGTATGGACCGACCCAAATATCACGTAGTAGTAAATTGAACATACAGAACCTACTGAGGGATTTTTCATTATATTTTTGTAAATAGGGCCATTTGAAGGAAGAAACGTTTACACTTCTAGGGCCAACATATGATCAAACTAAGAACATAATTGCACTTCCATTTGCAGCAAAAGTACATTATTTTCTTGAACTTATGAGCTAAAATCTAGATTCCTATGGGTATTACTTCTGGAATTTGGAACTCCCATGCATCATATTGAATTTCAAAGTCCCATACTTCTAGCTGTGATTCCACTTGGCCGTTGGTTCCATTTACGATTTCTTTCAGCCTCTCAGATATCGTTGCCGCTCTCGATTCTCCAATCTACACAAAAAAAATAAATAAATAAATAAAGAAGAAAAAGAAACAAATGAGTTAGACAACAACAAAAAATAGCCGAAAAACGCTGCATGATAAGATAGGTCAACGACCTTGTTTGCGTATGGAGAGAGACCATATTCACGACAAGAAGAAGAACCATACGATTAAAACGGGGGAATGCAGACTCACCTTCTCACGGACTATGTGGATGATTGAGTTTCCAGAGACTGAAAAATTGGCATATAGAATCTCAGCACCTTCTTCATGAAGCACACGAATAATCTCATAGAATACAGAGTGATTATCTAACCCACATATCAGAACTTCATCTAGAGCAGGACCAATTTCATGAATTTCAATATAAGGTGATTTTGAACTTGGCTTAGTCTCACTTATCATGCATGTGTGAGACCTTTTACTTCCCAATAAGTTGTCCTTCTTCTCCTTGCTTTTCTCCACCATTGTTTGCATGCTCTTGATGTAATTCACAGTTTCATCTATTTGATCAGGCAGTGGCAATGCTTCCTGCATACCATATCCAATTCTTCTTCATTCCCAAGAATACACATACAATCACCATTCTATAAGTATCACATACTTACTCAAGCACAAACATCATTTCTATGCTGAAATTTTGTTTGCCACGGTCATTTTGTAACCATCATCGAATACATATAGCCACTCACTAACTACAAATATCAATTAAATTCACGAATTGAAACCAGAACGTTTGAGTACTCGACTACTCATGTGGGTTATTTGGGATTGTTATATTGACAAGGTTTGTTAGCAAATGCATAGTCCATGTACAGTCAGGAAATGAATTGCAACTTTTTCACTCATGAAATCACAGACAGAAACAGATAAATTAAGAACAGAGAGAGAGGGGGGTACCATGGAGGCAGGATTTGGGAGGAGAGAGAAGAGCTTGGAGTAGAGATTCTTCATGTTATTTCTCCTATTCTTCTCTATAATCTTTCTTGCTGTTTTCGGCCTTATTGTGGAACATTGACCACTCTCCATTTCCTCTGCTAGAAAACTTAGATGTTTCGATGAAGATTATGTCAAGATCATTTGGTTTTATACTCGTGAGGAAAAAAAAAGCGCAAATCAAAGCCACAGTTGAAGAGATTATGATAATTATGATGATGATGAAAACATCGACACGTCCAATCGCCGCGTCATTGGTGAAACGTCAGCAATCACTCTTCCAACGTCATCAATTAAATTGCAGCTATCATATTATCAGCTGCCGATTTGGAAATCTTTCTCGCAAAACGACAATTCCGACCAATCCGCACGTGATTTTTTATCAGTTTCTGAGTTGCCTCTCCCTACAGGAACTTTCAGTAAATGGAATTTACACTCACATCCCATCTAGGATTACAAAATTATAGTTGCTGCCCTTTTAGTTTTTTACAATTGTACTATATATTATATCTTTACACCTCTACAGTTTAAAATTGTAAATGAGACATAGTGTTTCGACATAGTATCAGAATTAGGTCTCTCAATGAATCAGATTCTAATCTAAATCTAAATAATCGGGATATGAATTAATATTTTTTTATCTATAATCTAAACTTGGATATCTTATATTTTACTGATTTAAATTTGAATATATATCCGATCTGATTTAAAATATTTATATAGTTTTTTACAAATATTAAAAAAAATAGTTAAAATTTAATTATAATTTATTAAAATTTAGTTAATTAAATTATTCAAATTAGAATGAATTTTTGGATTGTTAACAGATTCACATATGAATCACAAGAATAAAAATTCGCTGAATTATCATATTAGACTTTTAAAATCGGATTCAAATTAATTAAAATTCGATCCAAACCTGATCGGTTAAAAAGCTTAATCAAAGCCTAGAAAGGTATTGAGTTCAAATTTCACTAAACCTCCTCCCTTACTACACAAAAAAAGAATATAAATAAATAAATGGACAGATCACCAAAGAAGGATAATAAGTGAAAAGAGTATTAGATAAATATTTATGTTTTATCCCTCTCTAGCAATTTAAGTTTTTAAATGAGATGGTGCTCAACACGAAATACTTTATGACAAATGCCCACTGGCCTATACGTAATGCAGCTGTAAACTTTTTAACATTACCCATATTAATTTGAGCAATGTTATATAACTCAAATTTGCATCACAAATGAAAGGATATAAGTGAATCTCATTTAAAAAAATTGATAAGACTTACTGATCTAGTGATTCCTTTCATTTAAAATACAAATTTGATTTACATAGTATTTTTTCTATCAATTTTTGGCCTTCCCAATCCAACAACTATTGTAAACTCTCTCTCTTGGAATGGAGCCCTGCTCTCTCTTCGCAAAAAAAAAAAATTACCCATCCATCACCACGTCCCTAACCTCTCTCTAAGTTCTCTCTCTAGTTGCCTGTTGGAAGGGGATGGATGTGGGTGGCTGTAGAAAGTGGAGTGAGAAGGGGGAGTCAAACTCAGGACCAATTTCGGCGGTTTCCCAAAATGGGGTTGTTTGGTACCGGTGGCCATTTGAGTGATGTCTCGAAAGGACAAAATGATGATGCCAATCCATTGTGATAGTACTAATGAAGTACGAGACAGACAATGCAAAACCAAATGAGATGCAGTATAATTACAAAAACTATAAGGGTACTGTCTATTATTTTATGGGTGTGGGTTAAATACAATAATTTATAATTATATAAAGAATTTTTTGATGACATGCACGTGTGAAGTTGTGAAAAGAATAAAAAAGACAATAGACAAAGGGTAAGATTACCATATCGAAGTAGGGTCACCCGACCCCTTCGTTGACACTTTTTTATATGAATACGTCGACTATTCCTATTTTTCGACGAATCTTTCAAAAAGAAAACATTGATTTCATATAAAAAAATAATATGTGGTTCCATTGATTCATTTGTACAAATTGATTTCTTATGACGCATGCATTAAAATAAAGAATTATATGCACTGTATTCATAATGGTTATATTATTTTTTTATTATTATTATTATTTTTTGTGGCAATGATTCATAATTGTTTTTTTTTTTTTTTGCTAAGGAAAATATTAAGAAAGACAGGAAGTCCTGTCTTGTTGGTGGGCAGTGGGACACACACGCACGGACCAACACTATCGAAACAGCATGGTAATGCAGTGGGACACACATTACCAGCATCAACACGGTGTAAAAATAGACAGTCACTGTACAAATTTCGGCTATGTATAGAAAGACTTGGACTTTGAATTTGTGTCTTTCCATTGACGCACTACCATGATAGATAGTCATCTGGGTAGTCAAGGGCCAATAAGAGCAGAGCACAAGCGTGCCTGAGGATGCTTCATGGAAAAAAAGAGTGGTTTGTTTGGTGGTGACACTTCCCATTACTGGTTTGTACACTTTCCCGAACGTACTCTTTGATACATTCTGCCCCGATTTTGGTGCATTGAAACTGGTTTTTTTTTTTTTTTTTTTTTTTTTTTTAAGACAAAAAATTTTTTTTGATATATTTTATTATTTTAATGATATAATTCTATTGGAACCATTAAATTAACACTAAAATTCAATATTTAATGGAACTCACAGTCAATCAAAGGTCGGAGCGAATTAAGTTAACAAATTAGGTCAGCAAATTAGGTTTCAATAACATTCTTTTTTTTTTTTTGATACTTAAAAAAGGAGTGGAGGCAAGGAAGAGCGCCCAGCGACCACCCCGATAGGCCTTCACCGGTGGGATCATAAAACCCCTAACCTGACCGCGCCTGGAACACCTCTTGAGACCAAACCTAGTTAGGCTAGCATAGTGGCTAACCACCAAGCCCCAATGAGAATTCCAAAACTCAAACTCCTAATCTCAAAGAGAGGAGTACGGCCGGTACCCCACTAGACCACCCTACTATGTGGTAATAACATTCTTCTTTGATGAAAGGCGAAACTTCAAATCAAATGTTTGGGATGTGTTTACATGACGTGTTGCTCATTTTAAAGTCTGATAAATTGTTAGGTTTATAAATTTTATCGAATATCGAAGTTTTATAAATTGGATTACGCCAAAATCAATTTAACTCATAGTTGATTTGTTTATTGAGAGGTTGGGTCAACATGCTCATGTCATAAACTCTTTAAGACCAAATCTATATCTACCAACTTCGTACCGATTTTGCGTTGGAGATGCTATAGATGCTAGAAATTAATTGGCTCCAAATTGAGTTTCACTCCTATGGTGGGCATAGTTGATTTCTCTAAGGGAGGTCTTTAATGGTTTGTTTGGTGGGATAGATGAAAATATAAATGAGTATTACACAATATTTCATCCCTCTTTTGTGTTTAGTAAAATGGATAGAAAATATAAGGGATTGTTTTTTTTTTCTTTAAATGTTTGGTATGCATGAAAAAGTGAAAGAAAAATAAAATATGCATGCATATTTTATTATTATAACCTAACAAAAATTAATTCATTCATAACATTTAATAAAATATACATATATATTAAGGAGTATAAAGGTAAATAACCTTAATTTTTAACACACATAATTAAAAAAAAATTCAATTTTTTTGCCCACTATTAGAGAGATGGATTTTGGTATATTAAAAAGAAGAGTAATTTTTGTGCTTTTCCTTCCTTCTACTTTCGTTCCTAACTCAACATAATATTTTGTTCATACGTCCAATTTTTCGTTTTTTTTTTTCATACCAAAAGAACCATAAGAGAGTTACTCTCTCCTCATACGTGGGATCTTTTCCCTCCGAGATATCAGAAAAACTGATTTGCACTCTTATGTACCCATCCTAGCCTCATAATCAAGATATAAAAGTGATGATGCACAAAATATATTTATACATCACCTGCCAAGTATTAAATACAGTATAAATGAGGAGAATCAATACAAGCAAAACACAAATTAAGTAGTTTGGTTAAGATGACTAACTCCACTGTAAAAGGTTAGGATGACCTGTATGTTTTATTACTTCAAGTAGTGTAAGGTGCTAAAATATGAGTGTTATGTATGACATGCCCCCTTGTATAGGTGGGACTTACAATTTATAGATGTCTCCTAACATATTGAAATGCTTTTCTCGTATCAAATGAGCTAGTTCGGTGGAGGTGACGCCCTTCTCGTAATAGGTGAGACAATTCTGTGGAGGTGGTGACCTGCATATCCCAAGGAGATCTCTTCGCATGTCAGTTGTGAATTGAGTCTTTCATAATGACGCGTCTGACCTAACTCTCTAAAGATGACGTAGCAGACTTGACCTAACTTTCTCCATCTTGTGGTGGATTTGGCCCGTATGTTTGAGGTGGGTCTGATATGCGATTATGCACCTAGTTTATATTTTTGCACGAGCCTATAAACTAAACCTAGTCTGTAATTTTGGACTGGGGCGAGCCCTTCATTTGCTCCTAACCCCCGAGTCCAATGAGATTTAGGGGAGAAGGCAACAGTAAGAAATCTTATCATTGTCCTCTTTTAGCAGCAGAACTCTGATGAGGTAGACATACCTGGCTATAGAGGAACAGTTAGGCCAAGCTTCTGGTGACTCGCGGGAGAGTTGCTAAATTAGAGACTAAAGCTGCTTGTGTGAGAACAGAAGCAAAGTTAGGTTAAGCTTCTGGTGACTCGCTGGAGAGCTGCTAGAGATGTAGAGGAGGAGGAAAATGGCAGTGAGGGTAGTCAGAGGATGTCGGCGGCAAGAGACGCACACTAGTGTAAGTAGTAAGGCATTATGTGGTAGGCACGGGCGCTAGTGGGAGGTGACGACGCCAAATGCGAGGAGGGTTGACGGGTGCGAAGAATGTTATTGAACTAGCGCAATGCAACAGGAAGTGCCAAGGAAGGAGAGGCGCTAAGGTGAGCATGGGCACGAACCCCATTGGTAGGCGACGTGCACAGGCGCCCTTGGTAGGTAAGGTGCAGGGAACACAGAGCGATTGCCCTTCGGAGGCGAGGCGCTATTAGCTGGCAAGGTAAGGAACGCTGGGAGCGGATACCTTTGGCAGGTCAGGCTCTGAGGTGAGCACACATCAAGGTGCCCTAGGCAAGCGTGGCACCGACATGAGCACGGGCGCGGGTCCCATTGGTAGGCATGGTGCACAGGCGCCTTTGGTAGGCGAAGTGAGGGTTGCACGGAGCGGGCACCCTTGGGAGATGAGGCGCCGAGGTGAGCACTAGGTATCTTGGGTAGGTGGGGTGTGCGAGCACCCTTGGCGCGTGTTGGGTGAGATGCTTGGGGTGCTTCCCCTTCTAGGTGCAGTGGAACGGATCCTCGATAGTGTCCAAAGAGCAACAATTGGAGGATTTGTTGGTTTTGGTTCACCAACAATTGTATTGTCTCCTATAGTTGTTGTCTGGCTACTGGATTTCCCGTAGCGACGGGGTTTACTAGCAGAGGTAGGACCTCGTCAAGACATGGTGGATCATTGTCTTCTATTTGTTTATTCATGGACCTAGTTATAATTGCCATAAAATGGAAAGAAAGTAGGAAGAAATATAAATACAGTATACAACTTAATCACTTACCAAACTAAATCTAAAAATTTAGAGTCTCCATTTGACCCATTGTCTTGCCCAGTAGCCTGTCTATCCATCGGGCCATAAGCTTACCCAATCTGCAAGCAGGGCAGGTCATGAGCCTAACTTCTGGCCCAATCCAATTGCAATTTGAGAAAATAAGGAAAAATTAGACCAAACCTTCTTTCCCAATCTGTTTATCAATAAAGTCTAGGAGTGAAATTATTAGTCATTATATATATATATATATATATATATATATATATATTAGAGTATGTGTGGCTCATATTTGTTGTGTGCATAATGACAAGGAGGCAGATGCCGGAGCAGAGCCCGCGACGGCATCTGCCTTGCGGGATTTATATAAAGGGGACGCTGATTAGTTGGGGGTGCGGGGGCAACGTCCCCGCGGTACGGTACAGGGGTATTTTTGTAAATACGTCCATATTAGGGTTATATAAATACTTAAGATGTAACCCTATTCTATAATAGAAAAGAACGGCCGCTCGCTCTCGTGGATGTAAGCACATTGCCGAACCACGTAAATCTCTGTGTGTTATTTTCTCCTGCTTTCTTAATTGTTTGATTCCTTACTATTCACCATAATTGCTGCACGATCACAACAATTGGTATCAGAGCTAGACTACGATGTCTGGGATTTCCTCTACAAAATTCGACATCATGAAGTTCGACGGAACTGGGAATTTCGGATTATGGCAGAGGAGGGTGAAGGACCTGTTAGTGCAGCAGGGCATGGTGAAGGCATTATACGGAAAACAACCGGCAGGAATGGACGACATGGATTGGAAAGAATTGGAAGCGAAGGCTGTGGCGACTATTAGGCTTTGTCTGGCTGATGAAGTGATGTATCACGTCATGGATGAGGAATCACCGGCGGAAGTTTGGTTGAAACTGGAAAGTCGGTATATGTCCAAGTCGTTGACGAACAAGCTCTATCTTAAGCAGAAACTATATGGTCTTAAGATGTCAGAGGGCTCGGATTTGACCCAACACATCAACGTGTTCAATCAGATCATCAGCGATCTGAAGCGAGTTGATGTGAAGTTCGAAGACGAAGACAAGGCGCTGATGTTGCTGAATTCCTTACCGGCGTCTCCTACGTACGAGAATTTGGTTACGACTCTGATGTGGGGGAAAGAAACCCTCGAATTGGAGGATGTCACAGGTGCTCTGTTAGGTTTTCATCAGCGGAAGAAAGCCAGTGATGAGGCTTCACAAGGTGAAGGGCTTGTGGTGAAAGGTAACCAGGAACGTGGAAGAAGCAAATCTCGGAATGGATCGGGTAACAATAAAGCCCGGTCCAAGTCGAGGAAGAAGAAGAAGGACGTCTCTGTCTCGTGTTACAAGTGCGGGAAAAAGGGGCACTTTAAACGGGACTGTCCAGAGAAAAAGAAAGGGGATTCAGAGAACAAAGAGGGTGCATCAAAGTCTGCAAACGTAGTGGAAGAAGAAGATTCAGAGAGTGGTGACGGAGATATGCTTTCTGTTTTATCTAGTTCAGATCGTTTAACAGATTCTTGGATTATGGATTCAGCATGTTCCTATCACATGACACCCAACAAAGATTGGTTTGACACCTACAGGTCAGTAAATTCTGGTTCTGTTCTGATGGGTAATGATGCATCTTGCAAAGTTGTTGGAATAGGAAATATTAGAATTAAGATGTTTGATGGTATGGTTAGAACGTTGTGTGATGTTAGACATGTACCGGATCTAAGGAAGAATTTGATTTCATTGGGCACTTTGGATTGTAATGGTTATAGTTACAAATCTATAAGTGGAGTAATGAAAGTAAGTAAAGGCATGCTGACAGTGATGAAGGGACAGAAAGTAGTAGGAAACATTTACAGACTGCTGGGTACTACAATTGTAGGTGGAGTTGCTGCTGTAGAGTCTGAATCAGATAATACAGTCTTGTGGCATATGCGGCTGGGTCATATGAGTGAGCGTGGGATGATAGAGCTTCATAAGAAAAATCTATTGAAGGGTGTCAAGACATGCAAGCTCAATTTTTGCAAATATTGTGTTCTTGGAAAACAGAATAGGGTGCAGTTCAAGACAGCCACACACAAGACAGAGGGGGTTCTCGACTATGTCCATACAGATGTTTGGGGACCAGTTAACGTACTATCACGGGGAGGATACATGTATTTCGTGAGTTTCATTGATGATTACTCACGAAAGGTCTGGGTGTACTTCATGCGGCACAAGTCAGAAGCGTTTGCCAAGTTCAAGCTGTGGAAAGCTGAAGTAGAGAACCAGACAGGGAGGAAGATTAAATGCCTCAGGTCAGATAATGGTACTGAGTACACAGATTCAAAGTTCCAGGAGTTGTGTGAGCAGCATGGGATCAAGAGACACTTCACAGTCCGCAAGACACCACAACAAAATGGTGTAGCGGAAAGGATGAACAGAACGATAGCCGAGAAAGCTCGGTGTCTCAGGTTGAATGCAGGGCTTGCAAAGAATTTCTGGGCAGAGGCAGTGAATATGGCATGTTTCTTGATTAACAGATCACCGAGGGCAGCACTAGATGGGAAAGTATCAGAGGAGGTGTGGACAGGCAGTGAGGTAGACTACTCTGGTTTGAGAGTGTTTGGATGTCCAGCCTATGTACATGTTTCTAGTGAGGAGAGGTCGAAGCTTGATGCGAAGTCTAGACAGTGTATCTTTCTGGGATATCAGAAAGGAGTGAAAGGCTTCAAGCTCTGGGATCCGAAGGCAAACAAGATGGTGATCAGTAGAGATGTGGTTTTTGATGAAAAAGCCATGTTGCAGCGTACTCAGGAAGAAGAGAAACAAGTACCAGAAAACTGTAGCACTAATGACCATGTGGTGCAGGTGGAGCTAGAGAATCATGGTAAAGAAGAGGATGCTCAGCATGTAGAGCGTTCTATCTCAGGTGATCAACAGCATCATAGTATAGCCACAGACAGGCCCAAACGCAATATCAAGCCACCTACCAGGTATGGTTTTGAAGATTTGGTTTCTTATGCGCTTATTACTAGTAGCGGGGATCCTACAACTTTTCAGGAGGCAGTACAAAGCCAAGAGAAAAGTAGATGGATGGGTGCTATGGTGGAGGAGATGGAGTCTCTGCATAAGAACCAGACGTGGGAGTTGGTGGAACTTCCCGAGGGGAAGAGAGCAATAGGGTGCAAATGGGTGTATAAGAAGAAAGAAGCAGTATCAGAAAATGAGGGAGAAAAATTCAAGGCTCGTCTAGTAGCAAAGGGTTACTCACAGAGAAAAGGGGTTGACTATGATGAGATCTTCTCCCCCGTGGTCAGACACACTTCCATCAGGACAGTGTTGGCACTAGTAGCACATTCAGATATGCAGTTGGAGCAGATGGATGTAAAGACAGCTTTCCTTCATGGCGACTTGGAGGAACGGATTTACATGGTACAGCCAGAAGGGTTCAGTCTCCCTGGAGAGGAACATTTGGTCTGTAATTTGAAGAAATCACTTTATGGGCTGAAGCAGTCTCCGAGGCAGTGGTACAAACGATTTGACTCTTACATGATCCGAATTGGCTACAAAAGGTGTGAGTATGATTGTTGTGTCTATGTAAAAAGGCTTGATGATGATTCATTTATTTTTCTGTTACTTTATGTGGATGATATGTTGATTGCTGCCAAGAGTATGAGTGAGGTCAACAAGTTGAAGACTTTGTTGAGTAGAGAATTTGACATGAAGGATTTGGGTGCGGCCAAGAAGATTCTTGGGATGGAGATTCGCAGGGACAGAGCTTCCAGGAGATTATGGCTATCTCAGCATAGCTATGTTGAGAAGGTGTTGGACAGGTTCAGCATGAGTTATGCAAAATCAGTAAGTACACCTTTGGCGAATCATTTCAGATTGTCTACCGCTCAGTGCCCGAAGACAGATGATGAAGTTCATGACATGTCAAAGGTCCCATATGCTAGTGCAGTGGGGTGTTTAATGTATGCTATGGTTTGTACAAGACCAGATTTGGCACAAGCTGTCAGCGTGGTTAGCAAGTTTCTTTCAAATCCGGGTCGACAGCATTGGGATGCAGTCAAGTGGATTTTCAGATACTTGAGGGGCACTACAGACTATGGCATCAGGTTTAGCAGACAACAGAGTGACCCTTCAGTTATGGGATATGTGGATGCAGACTATGCAGGGGACTTGGATGACAGGAGGTCTACCACAGGTTATGTGTTTACTCTTGTGGGAGGACCTATTTGTTGGAAGTCCATGGTACAGCCTATAATTGCACTATCTACTACTGAGTCAGAGTATATGGCAGTAGCTGAGGCTGCCAAAGAGGCTTTGTGGCTTACAGGTTTAGTCAAGGAGCTGGGTGCCCAGCAAGGTGGAGTTCAATTGCATTGTGACAGTCAGAGTGCCATTTATTTGGCAAAGAACCAGGTGTATCATGCGAGGACCAAACATATAGATGTGAGGTTTCATAAGATCAGGGAACTGGTTTCTTCTGGTGAACTATTACTTGAGAAAGTTCACACTTCTGAGAATGCAGCAGACATGTTGACAAAGCCTGTTACTACAGACAAGTTCAAGCACTGCTTGGACTTGATTAATGTCTCTAGTTGCTAGATGGGAGATGCCTCAACTCAGCGTCCCCGGTGGAGTTCCCGAATA